TGTTCGCATTTTGGCATGCTAAATAACTTGTTTACATTTTAAATTCCTCTAAGTTACAATTTGTGCATTTATTTTTAATGTCAAGTCTTAAAATCGAAGTAAACAAGATCGAATTTAACGCAGCAACAAATTTTATAGCTTGGATCAAACTAAAGCAAATAGTATTAGGACATCTTGATGCACTTAGGAGTTGTTATACATAGCAGCCGGTTAGATAAATCTAGAAAATGACCATACGAATTCGCCCACGGTTACCGGAAATAAGGATTTGCAAATGCCGCCAAACATTTCCCTATCATTTATGTTATGACAATGGGCAGCATTATTTTCCCCTGACGACCAGAGTTGCTGCAGATCGCGCCTGCATGAATTACAGCATGTTTTGTGCGACAGTGAAAATGGGAGGGCCTTCTTTATGCCGAGTTCCCAAATAAGGTAATAGAGAGGTGAACTTCGGAAAAAGAGATCTTTGGTGAAGATAGTGTGCTTATTGCTGGTACGGCGTGTGTCTATATGTTTTCTAGCAGGACTCGAGCCCTAGCATGTCTTTAGTCCTTGTGGATTTGCGTAATACTTATGCTGTTTTAACGGGCCTTTCAGGGAGGAGACAAGGTTGTAATTCGAATCTGATGACAGGGTCGTCAACTCCCGTGCCTAAGTGCAATTGCGCTTTTCCCTTCCCCAAACTTTGTATTTGTTCTCCTGATTAATATCCCCCTAATAAATATGTCGAAATTAAATCCACTGGGTTGTTCTAAGAGCACTAGGAACAGAGAAGAAGAGAGCTGTGAATCTCGCCATGCATTTGTTCAAGTCGAAATGACCTTAACCTATTAGCGAGCACTAGTAGGTAAAATTTTTGTTACTGAGTGACATTTACCAATTAAATAAGGCAGGAAAAGTAGAAATCCAGCAATTTTAGGAACGAGCATATTTCAAAGTATTAGGCCGAAAGGACTTGCTCTCTAGTGCAGCGGACTTCTACAGGAAGATGAGATGAAAGCTATAACGATCCGTTCGTGTCTTAACCTACCCTGTTTTCTCCAGCGTCTATTCTATTTCCTATGTAGCTATGTGGTTGTCAAGTCTCCCGTCAGTGTACAGGGGTGATAACCTAGTGGAGACATAGTGCTACTTTCAATTTTTTTTATCAATATTGGCTTGCCATCAGCCATAGTAACGATGTGGTAGTCTGTCTCAGAGAGCCCTCCCTTCATGTATTTGGGCCACTTCACCCAGCACGATGATAGCGCTATTCGATCCAATGCCTCTGGTCACATTCGCCTCCTACTCTGTCGATTGAATTGGTTGCCTGCACCGCCACATAGCATGCCACCGTCCAGTTCCGATTAACAAGCTTGTTTAACTCGTGACCAACGATGAGGCTTTACACACTTTACACATTCAGTGTATGTATCCATCCACCCACCAACACTGTCACGCGAGCATCATGCTTGTTTAGGTTTAAATTACACGCTGTCTTCTCTACAAAATACATCATTTATTACTACATTTGGTTATAATTTCATCATGGCTAGTGGTCTTCTTCAATGCATGCACAAGGAATTCAACGGAAAACTATGCTTTTATGGACAATTAAAATCAATTTATAGAAAATTTCAGGTGCATAATTTTTATGGGGTGGAATTCAATTTATTTTAGTTGATTTTAAATTTTCAGAGGTCACAAAGCGCCGCATGGGATGAGTTAAACCTCCTGACACCCTAATGACAAATTCCCTTCCAAAATTACTACGCAATACAATGCATTCTTGAGTTGTGTTTGCCACAAGATAAATCGACTAACCTATATCCCATTTGAATTAGCTGACACCGTTGGAGATACCCTTGTGTTTGGAGACTTACTTCACTACCACTGCATTGGTCGATGTGCTATTTCGGTGCCTCTATATAATGCAGATCTGCTTCGCAATATGCTGTGGTACGCGCTACCGACGCGGATCCATTTGACAAGCTGGCAAAGTGATTCATATATTTGATTTGGGCTCAACTTCTAACTTAGTGCGTTGTCTTGAGAAAACTAATGCAAGAGTAGAGCGACCTCGGCAGCTATTGTGACTTTACGGCAGAATATAAACGCTACTAAATGGTGCTCAGTAGGCGTTTTCTTGCAAAATCGGATGCGCTTGTTGTCTAAAATTTTGAATGCTCTGTTGATACCACATCATCAGTTGTTAATACCTCCAACTCCCCAACACATTCAAATTCACATAACCCAACATGCCTAGGCAGGTTTGTATCATTCAGTAAAGAAAAGAATCTGTACTGACCGACTTGTGAGTAGTCTATAAGTCTGCTCAGGTCAAAGCTGATTCAAATTGTACCATGCGCAGTTCCACCAAAGATTAGTTTATGCATCGACCATGTAAACTGTATGCTCATATACATAAATGCTCATTCTGTAGGGCTGAAAACCACCACTCTCACAGTCGCCAATAACAGTTCACCTTTGGCGATCCTCATCAAGCCGTTGACATCATTTAAATGACGCGCCGGTGCAAGATTATGCTTCACATTGCCACGCTATGCTTGCAGTAGATGTGCACGGGATCGAAGTTGATGCTTTCGTTGCCTGCCATCTTGATTAAGGCTATCACCTGAATCCTTGCAAATTTCATGTACACGGTACAAAATGAGCCCCCAACACTTACTCATGCCATCACTGTTACTAACGCATTGGTCGACATACGCACCGATTACTCATGTAGCCACCCTCAGTGAGTTCAAGTGAACCACCTAATGTGAAAACACCTGACGTATGCACTAAAGAGAAAGACCGATTACTTAGTCTATTAATCTGCACGTGAATTATAGGTGATGGAAGGTGGTAGAGACCAAGGACTAAAATAATCAGTACGCGGCAGAGGGCAGCAGAAGCAAGTGGACCGGGAGTAATTTTACGACACACCTCATGCACAGCTCAAAAGGAGCAGCGACGTACAATCTACGCAAAGGAAGTACAACCATTCTTTCCAGACAAATCATATCCAGGAGACGAGATGGGCTAGGGAGCATACAAAGTAATAAAAATTAAAATGCGCTAAAGTTAAGACAAACAAACGACGTACATTGCACATCACAAACCGTCAAAATGTAGAATAAGTGGACATTCGCACTTCTAACAAAGACAAACTTAGTCAAGTAGATCATGTTTAGAGTGTTCGCAAAGAAGAGAATAATTTTCGAGACTCCGGAGGGCTACAAATCCTTCATTTGACTTGCCATAGATATAAGTAATAGACGCCCAGGCAACTGGTACTCAAGAGAAGTCAAACAACAGAAAGGCAATAAAACAGGCATCGTATTACCGCATTATTGCCAGACGACGCATTTACAAAATGACTTACATAAAAGTGCCACTAGTTCACAGGAGGTCAAGTAAATATATCAGCAGTGACGACTGTTGTAAAACGAATAATTCGTAAGCAACGGAAGGAAGTTTGAAGCAGAGACGGATGGATGAAGGTGTAGATAGAGGGAGAAATTACGGCTCATATGGCCACAAGGCATGAATTCGTCTCGTGGACTATGTGGACGCACAAACAAACACTCTTACCCTTCATTCGATTGCAAAGCTGCGCACTCTACGCTCTTGCGCTTGGAAGTGCTTGCTCGGTGGGAGGTGAGGCGACCAAAAGCCAGTATCTTGCCCGTCTGCCACAGTCCACGTCCAGCCAAGCGCACCACGATGCCGAACCGACGCAGTAGAGGAATGATTACTGCCCTGAAAATGAATCACCTCCATTTATACACACATGTATATGCGAGCAAAGCACAAAAGCTAATCATTCTCATGACCCGCACCGATGAGGCACACTCACACGCGCTGCCCATGTTGTCGGAGCCCATGACAGGTGTGGCGGCGAGTGGCCAATGCCAGTTGGGGCCAAGTCGCGCTACATGTGAGCACCAGTGGGAGAAAATGAAACCTCCTCTCTCTCCGACTCCCCCACACCTCTGACATTGCTACCATGGCTTTGCGTTACACTTGCAGCATCAAAATGGCAGCACCGACTCATTTACTCCACACCTGTGTCACACAAGCACCAACTAACACCAACATACAATCTAATACCTAGCTTTTTATGTTAGCAGCATACTCGCACTGCTTTTCATGTAATTGGCGGAAAATAGTGAATTTTATGTTTCATTTATTTGGCATTATATCTCTAGGTCTTTTTTCTTCTCATTTGCATTAGCATATTTTTGCTCAAGTTTTATTTTTTTCTTAAATTACCATTCACTTCC